TGCTGCTGCTGCACTTCAGCAGCAGCAGCAGCAGCAGCAGTAGCAGCAGCAGCAGCAGCAGCAGCAGCAAAGATTTGCCCGCTAGCCATTTGTGCCCATGGCCGAATGCGGCTTTACTCGCCACGGATTAAAATCGAGATGCACGTTCAGGGTTTAGGGTTTAGGGTTTAGGGTTTGGGAGCGACTCCGGCTGATTTCGCAATAGACGGCTCAGCTCTTAGGGTTTAGGGTTTGAGCTATTTCTCTCGGACTCTGTATTATCAGACATTCGTGCTCAGGGTTTAGGGTTTAGGGTTTAGGGTTTGTACCACTTTCCCACTTCGCAGTACCAATTGTCCAAAGTGGACCTTGGACAAATTATTAAGTGGGGCCCCTGCACATCTTTTTCATGTTTCAAAAAAGCCAACAAAGAAATGCACTGCAGAGTTTTCCCGAGGCCCATTTCGTCCGCCAAAATCCCGTTTATGTTTAGCTGCAGCAGCACACAACCCACACCTGCTGCTGCTGCTGCTGCTGCTGCTGCTGCTGCTGCTGCTGCTGCTGCTGCTGCTGGGGAGTGCGCTGCGGCTGCTTGTCTGAAACTGCTACTCAGGATTCTGCTGCCGTTGCTGTTGCTAATCTTGCTGCTGCTACTCCTGCTGCTGCTACTCCTGCTGCTGCTACTCCTGCTGCTGCTACTCCTGCTGCTGCTGCTTCTGCTGCTGCTGCTGCTGCTCCTACTCCTGCTGCTGCTACTCCTGCTCTTCCTGCTGCCACTCCTTCTGCTGCTACTCCTGCTGCTGCTACTAGTTCTGTTTCTCCCGCTGCACCTCCCGCTGCTGCTACGCCTGCTGCTGCTACTCCTGCTGCTGCTACTCCTGCTGCTGCGACTCCTGCTGCTGCTACCTCTGCTGCTGCTACTCCTGCTGCTGCTACTCCTGCTCTTCCCGCTGCCAACCCTGCTGCTGCTACTCCTGCTGCTGCTGCTCCTGCTGCTCCTCCCGCTGCACCTCCCGCTGCTGCTACTTCTGCTGCTGCTGCTCCTGCTGCTGCTACTCCTTCTGCTGCCACTCCTGCTGCTGCTACTAGTCCTGCTTCTCCCGCTGCGTCTCCCGCTGCTGCTACTCCTGCTGCTGCTACTCCTGCTGCTGCTGCCTCTGCTGCTCCTGCTCCTGCTGCTGCTACTCCTGCTGCTGCTACTACTGCTGCCGCTTCTACTGCTGCTTGCTACCCCTGCTGCTGCTGCTGCTGCTCCTGCTCCCGCTCCTGCTCCTGCTACTCCTGCTGCTGCTGCTGCTGCTGCTACTCCTGCTGCTGCTACCCCTTCTCCTGCCACTCCTGCTGCTGCTACTAGTCCTGCTTCTCCCGCTGCACCTCCCGCTGCTGCTACTCCTGCTGCTTTTCGTGCTGCTGCTACTCCTGCTGCAGCGACTCCTGGTGCTGCTACTCCTGCTGCTTCTACTACTGCTGCTTGCTACCCCTGCTGCTGCTGCTGCTGCTGCTGCTGCTACTCCTGCTGCTGCTAGTCCTGCTGCTGCTACTTCCGCTGCTTGCTACCCCACCTGCTGCTGCTGCTGCTGCTAGTCCTGCTGCTGCTACTCCTGCTGTTGCGACTCCTGCTGCTGCTACTCCTGCTGCCGCTACTGCTGCTGCTGCTGCTGCGACTCCTGTGGCTGCTACTCCTGCTACCGCTACTGCTGCTGCTGCTGCTGCTGCTGCTGCTGCTGCTGCTGCTGCTGCTGCTGCTGCTGCTGCACCCTGTATAGCTGGTAGAGCCAGTTGAGGCCCTCGATTTGGTAGCACTTCATTTGGCCCTGGATGCAGCTGGGCTGCTTCGTGAGGCGGCAGTAGGCCCCCCTGGCTGTGTCTTCTTCTTGTGCTGCCTGCAGCAGCAAATCGTCTTCTTCTTTTTCCGTCAGCAGGTGCGATCGCGTGCTTGCTGCCTGCAGCAGCAGCAGCAGCAGCAGCAGCAGCAGCAGCAGCAGCAGCAGCGGCGGTGGCGGAAGAGCCGGCAGAAACGGCGCTTTTTCCGGCTTCATACGGCTCTTTTTGGCTCCGCGGGGCAGCAGCAGCTGCTGCTGCTGCTGCTGCAGCCGGTGCTGCAGCGGCTGCTGCAGCTGCTGCGGCTGCTGCTGCTGCTGCTGCTGCTGCTGCTGCTGCTCACCTTCTTTGCGGCAGGAGCAGGGGCGAAGCCACCAGTTATTTGAGAGGAATAAGCGTCAGCTTGCCGCAGCAGCTCAGTCAGTCGCTCACTGTAGTCTGCTTCCTGCAGCAGCAGCAGCAGCAGCAACAGCAGCAGCAGCAAGAACAGCAGAACAGACAGCACACGCTCCAGCAGCAGCAACAGCAAAATCTAAGGAGCTGCTGCAGCAAACGAGGCCGTCAAGCCACACGCAGCGGCAGCAGCAACGCCGCCAGACACAGAAACAGCAGCAGCAACAAAAGCAGCAGAAACAGCAGCAGCAGCAGCAGAAACGGCAGCAGCAGCAGCTTACTTGCATGGGAAGCCCGCCATTGTCACTCTCCTCTTCTGCGTCGACGCAGCAGCAGCAGCAGCAGCTAAGACACAAGAGTTGCTGCTGCAGCAGCAGCTACATGATAAAGAGCCTCAGCAGCAACAGCAGCAGCAGCAGCAGCAACAGCAGCAGACGCACCCTCCTCGCTAGGCTCCTCCTCCTCCTCCGTCGCCTCGTCTCCTTCTGCTGCTGCACTGCTGCCCTCGGCGTTTTCCGACGCGCTGTCTGCTGCTGCTGCTCCCCCCTCTTGTGCTGCTGCTGCTGCTGCTTCTGCAGCAGGCGCTGCTGCTGCTGCGGCCTCCCCAGCTGCTGCTGCTGCAGCAGCGGGCGCAGCTGCCGCAGCAGCGGGCGTAGCCGCCGCCGGCGGGCTGTCAACGTCCACCATATTTCGATCAGATGAGGCTGCTTTTGCTGCTGCTGCTGCTGCTGCTGCTGCAGTTGCGTCGCTGCCCCTGGTGCTGCACTAGGTCTGGCGGCAGCAGCTGCTGCTGCTGCGGCTGTTGCTGCTCTCCTCCGGATGAACTTAGAAGTGCGGTGCGTTAAAAACTTTTAAAGAAGTATGTGGCTGTGCTGCGGCTGCCTCGTGCGCTGAGCTGCGGCTGCTGCTGCTGCTCCCGCTGCTGCTGCTGCTGCCGTTCCCGTGGTGGGCGGGCAGGGGTGTCTGCTGCTGCTGCTGCTGCTGCTACGCGGTCGGCAAGTGGCTTAGCTGCTGTCTACAAAATATTTCAAAGACGGGGAGGCAGTAGGAATGGCCTTAGAGCGGCTCGAAGAGACCCCCCGATGCATGCGGGTAACTGTTGCTGCTGCTGCGCAGCTGCTGCTGCTGCTGCTGCTGCAGCCAAAGTGCCCAAATTGTGCAACTAATAACCAACGAATCTCATTAAAGAGACCCTAAATCTCGTGGTGACGCTGCTGCTGGTGCTGCGGACCCGCGCTGCGATGCAACGGCTCGGAGGGATCTGCTGCTGCTGCTGCTGCAGCAGCAGCTGCTGCTGCTGCCACGGAGGCCCTAGGCGTAGGGGCAGCAGCAGGTCTTCAACCGGATCCAAAACGTGTCTTCTTCAGATACATTTTGCTGTTACTGCTGCAGCAGCAACCTGGAGCAGCAGCAGCAGCAGCTGGCTCAAAGACAACGTACAACAGCAGCAATCTGCAGCAGGAGCTGCAGCAGCTGCTGTTGCTGCTGAAGCCCCGGGGCCCGGGGCCCCCCGTAGCTACGCAGCCACTGCTTGACCTGCTACGCGCACAACGAGCTGGAGGCCCAGGAAGGCCCAAAACCCTTGTTGTTTACTGCAGCAGCAGCAGCAGCAGCAGCAGCAGCAGCAGACACTGCTGCTAGTTTCGCAGCTGCTGCACATCCTCGCGAGCAGCAGGTCCTTGCGAGCAGCAGGGCCTTGCGCGGCGGCCTTCAGCGTCAGCAGCAAAAACGACAGCAGCAACAACAATAACTGCAGCAGCAACTGCAGCAGCAACAGCAAGAACGTCAGCAGCAGCAGCAGCTACAAATGGCCTTCCGGGGTCTCGCGGTGCAGCAGCTGCTGCGCCGAGGCCTCCGGCGGTTTGCTGCTGACACTCCAACAGCAGCAGCAGCAGCAAGCCGAGGATGGCAAGTGTGGGTTCAGCACCGCACCAGCAGCAGCAGCAGTAGCAGCAGCAGCAGCAGCAGCAGCAGCAGCAGCGCTTCTGGCAGCCTCCGAGGGGTCGAGGAGGATCTGCTGCTGCAGCTGCAGCAGCAGAAAAGACTCACAGTGGAAGAGGTGCTGCAGAGCACACAGCGGCTGCTGCAGCGCCAGCACACGTCCTTTGCCCATCCTAGCAGCAGCAGCAGCAGCAGCAGCAGCAGCATATTGCCCGACGAGTTTGTGGCGTTTTTGTCCGCTGCAGCAGCAGCAGCAGCAGAGCAGCAGCAGCGCCACGTGCTGCTCAGCGACAGCAGATTTCAGCTGCTGCTGCAGCAGCTGCGCAGCAGATTGATTGGCTTTGATGCTCCGCAGCTCTTCAGGCTGCTGCTGTCTCTAGCGCGGCTGCAGGTGCTGCTGCTGCTCTATCTGCTGCTGCTGCTGCTGTAGCTGCTGCTGCTGCTGCTGTAGCTGCTGCTGCTGCTGTAGCTGCTGCTGTATGCCTGTTGCTGCTGCAGCATCTGCTGCTGCAGCTGCAATTTCTACTTTGCTCCAAGTTCCCCTCAGCCGCTGCTGCCTCCTTACCTGCTGCTGCTGCTGTTGCTGCTGCTGTTGCGCTGTTTGCTGCTGCAGCACTGCCTGCTGCTGCTGTATGCCTGTTGCTGCTGCAGCATCTGCTGCTGCAGCTGCAATTTCTACTTTGCTCCAAGTTCCCCGCAGCCGCTGCTGCCTCCTTACCTGCTGCTGCTGCTGCTGCTGCGCTGTTTGCTGCTGCAGCACTGCCCCCCTGAGCTCTTGCAGCGGCTGCTGTACATCTTGGGGGGCCCCACGGGGGGCCCCCAGGGGGGCCCCCAGGGGGGCCCCCAGGGGGGCCCCCAGGGGGCCCCAAGGGACTTTGAGGGGGCCCCCCTGCTGCCGCTGCAGCAGCTGAGTCCGAAGCAGCTGGCGCAGCTGCCGCTGCTGCTGGCTGCAGCCACAGGCAGCTGCGACCCCACACTCTCCCGCAGCTGCAGCGCGCAGCAGCAGCAGCAGCAGCAGCAGCAGCAGCAGCAGCGCCATTTGCTGCTGCAGCCGCCGGGAAGTGAGCTGCAGGCGTTTCTTCAGGTGTACGTACAGCGCGTCTGCGAGTTGCTGCGGCTGCAGCAAGAAGCTCTCGGGCCATCTCCGGAGGCTTCAGCAGCAGCAGCTGCAGCAAAGACCGACGCAGCAGCAGCAGCAGCAGCAGCAGCAGCAGCAGATTATTTTGCTGCTGAGGACCTGTGTCTGCTGCTGATAGGGATGTCTTCTTTAGGCTTCCGCCATCTGCTGCTGACTGATCTTGCTGCTGACGCTTTGCGGCTGCAGCTCCTGCTGCAGTTCGGGGGTCCCACAGCACCTGAGGAGCTGCAGCAGCAGCAGCAGCAGCAGCAGCAGCAGCAGCCCGAGGAGATGGTGCAGCAGCAGCTAATGCTGCTGCCCCTGCCATCTGTGCTGCTCAGCCTGGCCACTTTAGGCTCAACAAATGCAACGGCGATTATGGAGGTCTCTTATCAGCTGTTGCGTACGTGCTGCTGTTGCTGCTGCTGCTGCTGCTGTTGCTGCTTTTGCTGCTGCTGCTCTTGCTGCTGCTGCCCTTGCTGCTGCTGTCCTTGCTGCTGCTGCCCTTGTTGCTGCTGTGGTTGCTGAGGCTCCTGCGGCTTTTGCTGCTGCTGCTGCTGCTGCTCCGGCCGCTGCTGCTGCCTGAGCTGCTGCTGCTGCTGCCTGAGCTGCTGCTGCTGCTGCTGCTGCTGCTGCAGGAGTGGCTCCGCTGCTGTCAGTCTCTCGGCTGACGGACTGTCTTTTGGCCCTCGCGACTCTCCAGACCAACCCGAGCGCAGTGCCCTCCGTTGCCCTTCTAAGTGTACGTACACCCGGCCCCTGCTGCTGCTGCTGCTGCTGCTGCTGCTGCTGCTGCTGCTGCTGCTGCTGCTGCTGCTGCTGCTGCTGCTGCTGCTGCT